AGAGATTATTGGGGCTGTTGATGTGGTGGAGGTTAAGAAAGAGGTGGGGTGAAGGATAGGAGGTGGGCAGCAGCCAGCAAAGTAGAGTGCACATACTTGACATGAAACCCGGGACCCTACACACAAAACCGAGGAGAAATCAAGACAAATAAAATAAAATAAAATAAAATAAAATAAAATAGAAATAAATAAAATAGAAATAAATAAAGTAAAATAGAAAAAAAGAGAAATAAAACTTAAACTAACAAAAATTAAACAAAAACTATACAAGCAAAGAAAGCAAAATAAAATAAAATAACAAAATAAACATAAAGTAATTGAAAATATGAAAGTAACAAAGAAAAGGAACGAAATAAAATAAATCGAAAGCAAATAAAATACGAAAATAAACTAGAAACCAATTAAATAAAGAAATTAAATTAAAACATACTAAAACTAAGAAATAAGCTAGAAACTTTATTAAAAAGAAAACAAGAGAATAAAAGGGAAAATAAGGGAAAATAAACACGGAACTAATTCTAAAACTACTCCCTAAGAGTGACATAAATGTCACTAATCAAATTCCCCCAAGCTAAAACTTTGCTCGTCCTCGAGCAAAGCTAGGGCAAAAGAGAATAAGATGAAATTATTGAAAGAAAAAGAAACAAAATAAAAGAACGGGAAAGAATGTACACTAACTAACTTCCGTAGGAATCATGGATGCATTTAGCGTATGCATCAAGCCCTTTAAACCCCCATGTCGCCAAAGAGGACGAGTAAGCTCTCGTGAGGGTTTCCTAAGAGGTTTAACCCACAACTCTTGGCAATACATAACATTCAAGGCAAAGGTGAAATCTAGAAAACTCAAGTTTTGACATTTCAAACCAAACACAAACAACGGGCTAAGTGCACAAGAATACAATCCTTTCTAGACATTAAAGATAGCCAAGCAAAATAATAGCTAAGGTTGGTACACACATAAATCATGCAAAGGGTAGAGAACTTAGAGGGACTTACACTCCTCCTTATCTCCAACCAAACTTCCGCGCCCTCACTAGTTTTGCTTCCACTTTTAAGGTGATATATCGAGATTCCTCGAAGGAATCGGAAGAAATAAACAATGAAAACATTTAGGCTACCCGACATCTTGGTATCGATAGCTCGCTCAATAGGCTTTGCTTGATTACCCTCCACCGGTAGTAACTAAACGTCACTGAGGTCAAAAGGTCTTAAAAGGGTTGAAACGTTTAGGCTAGGTTAAAGGGCGTGGAAATAAATTTGGAAATTGGTGGTAAACTTAGTAGTGAAGCAAGGTTGATCATTCCTCAATTCAAACTCAATAAACTACCAACTTTCAAATAAAAATTCTAGTAATAGATCACAAAGCAACTCCTCCCCCAAGCTTAATCTTTTTCAACCAAACAACAAATATTTTTGTATTTTCTCGATATTTTTTTTTTCTTTTTTTCATTTCTTTTTATTCTTTGCTCTCGCCTCTATTAACTTTGAGCAGCTTTTTCTGTCTTTCCTTTCTTTTCTTCTCATTTTCTCAAACTATTCAACATGACAAAGATAATCACAATCACCAAGATTTGAGTTTTTCACTTCTTTTTCATTCTCTTTCTTACTTTCATTAACCAAAAATACAAATCAAGTCCCAAGAATGCTTCACAAAAACTAATAAAGGTGAAAATGAAGCAAAGGTCCATTGGTTTGTAATGTGGTTATGCCAAAGCAGGGAAAATGGCCCAAATTGGGGTACTAATTGAGCAAATGCAAAAGAAAAAAGAATGGAAAATAATAAAATAAAACAAAAATCCTAATTGCCTTTGTGTTCCCCTAGGTTTGTTCGGTCTCGATCTAGGGTAGAATCAAGCCAAAAATTCGATATAAGCTAGCAATGCCAAGGATCCAAACGCCACACATGCAAGAAATGTAGAAGGCTAGAACAATATGGACACATCCTCACAAGAATGACGGTAGTGGAATAGCAAAAATCACCTTTAAAGCTTCAACTAACTAGAGAGCGACAACTATCTTACCACAATGATATATGCGTGAACCAACCTCGACATCCAACTGCATGAACACCTCTAACAACTACCACTACTAAAAAATTTGCCAAAGAGACCCGTTCAAATTAGCCAAAGAGACTGCCTTAGAGGCGGTCTTTAGCGCAGCAGTCTCTTTGGCAAAGAGACTGCATTTTTAGAGGCGGTCTCTAGAATGGGAACGCTGAGACCGCCTCTTAAAGATAAGCGGTCTCAATATTGAGAAAGTTGAGACTGCCTTTATAAGAAAAGTGATTTCTCTTTATTGAAAACTAAGACCGCCTATCTTAAATAGACAGTCTTTTTTTTAGAAAACTGAGACCGCTTTTTAGGCTTAACGGGTCTCTTTGGTCTCATTTTAAATAAAAAAAATTAACGTATTTAATTTGATTTTGTTAATTAAAATTACAATATATTATATGCTATATTTTTAAAAGAATTGGTATAAAATTACACGTATCAAAGTACAAATTCTACAATAAAAAATGTAGATCGTATATAAATTATTCTAATCTGCAGTACAAAAATAATTGCATCAACACAAAATGTAGCTGAAGTACTCCAACTTCTTCCTTGTGAAAACAACATATCAGTAAAATCAAAAACCACAAAATTAATAAATCAATTATACTACTAATAAATCAAAATGTAGTAATTGAGATTATTTAGAAAACTTGACTAGTGAGTAAAAGATTAACTCACTAAAGAATCAATTGTTTAACAAATTCAGAAAAGATAATTGAAAATCCGTATATAACAAAGATTAATTCACTAAAGCACAGGCTAAGTATTCTTGTAATCTATAACAAAGATAAAAATAAAAGACATAGAAGATCGAGATTCACATTGTTTAACATATTCAAAAAACATGTTGATAGTTAGATCAAAATCATTCCAGACACAAGTAATTCCTCTGTAAAACTGATAGGGTCGTAAAATATAATTTTTATATATATTAAACTCTTAATTTTATATTGACATTTGATAATTTAAGAGTATTATAAGTAATTTTCTTTCGTAGACTTGAGTTACTACTATTTTATTTATTTGGCTGTAGGAAGGAAGATTACGACACTAAATTACATTTTTACCAACGCTCGGATTAAAAGAAACCAAGACCACATGACCAGATTAAGTCACATTTGTCTCAAGCCCAATAAGATATTATTTTGAATGGGCATACTAGAGGAAAGAGAGCTACAAACCTACAATACTCATCAGAATCTTTTTCTCTTTATTTCGATGAGCAGTAAGGTAAATTTCTTGAGCGATTTTTGTGGGTACCAAACTGTCAAGCTAGAAAAGTTAGAGATGAAATCAGAGAAGGATGAGAGCGTTCGAGATCAAAGATTCCGGGTGATAAGATTGGGATGCCGAATGGGAAGAAAGGGGGTTGTTTTTGAGATAGGAATGGGGGGAGATTTTTTTGGACTGTTTTTGGAGTAAAGCCGAATTGCATGCGAGAGGAGGCGATCTTCTGGGCAGCGAATTGAGGAAAAAATCAGAAAACGAACTCAGAGCAGTGTAGTAGCGGTGAAGAGAAACAGCATCAGTCGAGAGGACTTAGCTGTGTTCTGGAATTTGTCATTTGCTACGGGATTTTTCTGGGCTAGGTTTCAGGAATAAAAATTAAAGAAATTCCTTGGAGCACTGCAACTCGTGTCATAGTCTTCGGTAATCATCAAATTGGTTTTGATACTACATTAGTTTAATATCTCCTTTTACTCTTTGTATTGGATTTCATTTTGGTAATAATAGTCAGAGTTTGATTTCTTATTAAGATATAGGATTGAATTTTATTATTAAGCTAATCATTGGTAGTTTATGGCATTTGTTAAATGTTGGTACTTTGTGCTTCGTTTAGCTACTGCTAGCATTATCAATTTCGATGTTTAATTATTTATATCATATTATGAAGTTTCTTTTTGTACTTGTTATTGTAATTTCAACTCTTAATATGTTAGGCTAATTCTTCTTAGGGTAGGGATATATATTATGCATTGGATTATTTTGTTGAGAGAATAGAGATGTTATAATTCTTGGGTATTATGTTTATTTCTTGATTGGGTTGATAATCTGTTTTATTAGTATGAATTACCAGATTATATTTTAGACCGGCCATCTTTAGTATAATTTGCTAGTTTAAATGCTAGAATATTAATCTATGATACGTAATTGTCCGGTTAGTACTCCTTAGTATCACATAGGTGTTTAATAGGTGACTGAAACTTGTCTGATGCCTATGATTATCAGCTCTTTAAGTTGCACGAATCCGAGCTTGTGAGATTTGTGGCTTAAGTTAGCTACTTCCTAGTTATTAATGCTCCTAATTAATCGAGTCTAGAGAGCTTGTTCTAGATTGTTAGTTAGTTAGACAATACTCCAAGAGCATGTTTGGTTTATTTGCAATTAAGGGAAGTGTTGAATGTTTGTTTGTGTTCATCGGCTAACATTGAGATAAGAACATAATTTTTATAATTCGATGATCAACAAATACTCCAATGCTATAATATGTCTCCCGATCCCTGTTTTATTATTATTGATTTTTATCATATTTCAATTTTAGTAGTCTTTCTTTCGTACTTTATTTGTCCCATAGTTCATAGTAGTTTATTTATTAGATCGTAGTACTATTTCTTCAGAACAGGGGTTTTTAACTTACACAATTTATAATTTAATAAACCAATTCTCTGTGGGATCGACCCTAGCTTACCCTACTACATTTTAGGAGGTTGGAGTTAGGTTTATTTTTGGTAGACACGCGACAGTCGTATCAAATTTTGGCGCCGTTGCCGGGGACTTGGCGTTTTATTTTATTATTTCTTATGTTTTTCTAACTGTTCTTACTAACTTGTCACCTAGTTCCTTGTTCTTGTATGTGTGACAAAAATTTGAAACATCAAAGATTGAGAAATTTTGCGGTAAGGAACCAGGGACTTATAATTCATCCTTTTTCTACTCTTCCTGTAGCTAAAAGGACTCATGCTCATATACTGGAGCAAGCTCGTCATATTCCGTTACCTCACTGTGAAAGTTCATCTTCGGACGAGGAGGGTGAATATATTTTTGAGATGGGTGATCAAACACTAAAGCAGCTTGCAGCTCCAACGTTTGATCCAAATTTATTATGCATAGTAGACGATGAGGCAGAAATTGAGATCAAGCCGGGGTTGATTAGAGCTCTTCCCACATTTTCAGGTTTCCGTAATACTAACTCCTTGGGTTCAGTTCACATGAATGAGGCTAGCAGATTTTTGAAGGAATTTCACATAGCATGTCCGGGGATGAAACCGGCTGGTGTCACCCTCGACCAGCTCAAGTTAAAGGCATTTCCTTTTGCCTTGTCTGATGCTGCCAAGGAGTGGTTATTTGAAGTACCTGCTGGAACCATCACAACATGGGATCAAAAGCTAAAAGTATTCGCAGAAAGATATTTTCCAGCATCTTTGATAGCCAATATCAGGAAAGAAATATGTGGAATTCGACAGGACGATGTGAGTACTGGGAACGTTTCAAGAAACTATGTGATAGTTGCCCATACCATCAGATCAGTGAGCAATTATTAATACAGTACTTTTACGAAGGACTTAGGGAGACAGACAGGAATCTAGTTGATGCAGCAAGTGGTGGAGCACTGGTTGACAAAACACCCGCAGAGGCAAAGAAACTGATTGCAAACATGGCTGCAAACTCTCAGTATCGAGGAGGTCGAAATATCACGTCCACCTCTATATGTCAAGTTAATGAAGTGGTGAGTTCTAACCTCGAGCAACAAGTAGCTAAACTCACTTCCTTAGTGGAGCGAGTAATGATCGAAAAAGGGCAAGATAAAGTATGTGGCCTTTGTTCAATGGTAGGACACTCAACTGATATGTGTCCTACTCTGCAAGAAGAAGAAGTGAATTCGATTGGTGGCGGTCAGGGGCAGCAAAGACGTTATGATCCATTCTCTCAGACTTATAATCCGGGGTGGAGAGATCATCCAAACCTGAGATATGGTAATGCTCAGCAGCAGGCAGGCAACTCTAACCTCAGACCACCAGCTTTCCAGCAACAACAAGCTTCTAATCCTCCACCTGGGTTTCATCAGCAACCACAATATCAGCCGCGACCTCAAAATCAACAAGTTTCCCAGCCACAATCTGGTAGCATGTCTCTGGAAGATATTGTGAAGGCAATGGCTGACAACACTTTGCATTTCCAGCAAGAGACAAGAAGTGGTCTAAAGAACTTGGAGAACCAAGTTTCTCAGTTAGCTAACACAGTGGGAAAGCTCCAAGCTCAGAACTCTAACAAGCTTCCGAGTCAACCAGAGAGAAATCCAAAGGAGAACGCGAGTGCAATCTCCCTGAGAAGTGGCAAGCAATTAGAGGTTCTAGCGAAAAAGACTGAAGGGCTGGCAGCACACCAAGAGGAACAAGAGACTATTGTTCCAGAGCAAGATAAGCAGCCCACTAAGGTAAGAGATGTTGTTTCTCCTAATACTGATGAGTTTACTTCTTCTGTTCCATTTCCTAGCAGGTTATCATCTACGAATAAGAAGAGAGAGCAAGAAAAGGAGAAAGAGACCCTGGACATTTTTCGCAAGGTTGAGGTAAACATACCTTTACTGGAAGCTATAAGACAAGTGCCGCGGTATGCAAAGTTTTTGAAGGAGTTATGCACTAACAAGAGGAGATTGAGTGGAGATGAAAAAGTCAGTGTAAGTGAGAATGTGTCTGCTGTTTTACAGAGGAAAGTTCCTCCAAAGTGCAAGGATCCAGGTATTTTTACTATACCATGTAAAATAGGTAACACGAGATACGATAAATGCATGCTAGACTTAGGAGCTTCTAGTAATGTCATGCCTTTATATATCTATAAAGCTCTAAACTTAGGACCTTTGAAAGACACTCGAGTGATTATTCAGCTTGCTGACCGTTCTAATACATACCCTGTAGGAGTAGTCGATGATGTTTTAATGCAAGTGAATGAACTGGTGTTTCCTGCTGACTTTTATGTTTTAGATATGCCAAATGATGAATCCCCTAATGCAGCACCTATCTTATTAGGAAGACTTTTTCTGAAAACATCTAGAACTAAAATTAATGTTCACAGTGGGGTGTTGACCATGGAGTTCGATGGGGAGGTTATCCGGTTTAATTTATTTGATGCCATGAGATATCCCTCTGATTGTGAATCTGTTTCTAGTATAGATGTCATTGATGCACTAACTGAGCATGTATTCTTTCTCTCTGGTCATGATGGGTTAGATGTTGTTTTGACTGCGCCTATGGAAAAAGAAAAGTATACTGACTTGCAGGAACATTTTGAGCTTAAGGGGGAAGTTAAGGAAGCTTTTTCCTCTCTGGAAATACTTCCCGATAAGCAGTCAAGGTATGACAAACAGTTTATGCAGTTACCTGTCACTTCTAACAGATTGTTACCTTCTATTGTACAGGCCCCTGAAGTGGAACTAAAGCCACTACCAGACCATCTCAAGTATGCATTTTTGGGAGAAAATGACACTCTGCCAGTCATAATCGCGAGTAATCTAACTCTGAATCAAGAGCAAAAGCTGGTGCAAGTTCTGAAGGAGCATAAAACAGCTCTAGGGTGGACGGTTGCTGATATAAAAGGAATTAGTCCCTCTATGTGTCAGCACAGAATCTTATTAGAAGAGGGAGATAAACCCGTGAGACAAGTGCAGCGACGACTTAATCCACCTATGATGGAAGTGGTGAAGAAAGAAGTAATGAAGCTTCTTGAAGTAGGGGTGATATACCCTATATCAGATAGCCCTTGGGTCAGTCCCTTTCAAGTGGTCCCAAAAAAGTCAGGAGTCGCAGTGGTGGAAAACGATAAGGGAGAAATGGTTCCCACCCGAGTACAAAATGGGTGGAGAGTTTGTGTAGATTACAGAATACTCAATTCTTTGACTCGAAAAGATCATTTTACCTTATCCTTTATTGATCAAATGGTAGAGCGTCTTGCTGGTCACGCTTATTACTGTTTTCTTGACGGTTTTTCAGGTTATGTGCAGGTCCCTATAACTCCGGAGGATCAAGAAAAAACGACGTTCACATGCCCGTACGGCACATTTGCGTATCGTCGTATGCCATTTGGACTGTGCAATACTCCAGCGACTTTTCAGAGATGTATGGTAAGCATCTTTTCAAATTACCTTGAAAATTTCATTGAAGTTATCATGGATGATATCACTGTACATGGAGATTCTTTTGATAGATGCTTAGAACACCTCACTATGGTCCTTAAACGTTGTCTTGAAACTAACCTTGTGCTTAATTTTGAAAAATGTCATTTCATGGTTCAACAAGGTATAGTTTTAGGCCATATTATGTCGTCTGAAGGAATAAAAGTAGATAAAGCTAAAATAGATCTTATTTCTTCTCTGCCTTACCCCACCTCTGTGCGGGAAGTTCGATCTTTTCTTGGCCATGCAGGGTTCTATCGCAGGTTTATCGAAGGATTCTCGAAGATTGCGCAACCACTATGCAAACTACTCCAAAAGGATGTGGAGTTCCACTTTGATGAGGCCTGTAAGCAGGCATTTGACAAGCCGAAAGACAAGTTGGTCACTGCCCCTGTTCTACAACCTCCTAACTGGGAGCTCCCATTTGAGCTGATGTGCGACGCTTCTAACTATGCTGTAGGGGCAGTGCTAGGCCAGCGAGTTGGAAAAGTTCCCCATGCCATCTACTATGCCTCAAGGACTTTGGATGCGGCTCAAGCTAATTATACTACGACTGAGAAAGAACTTTTAGCTGTAGTTTTTGCTTTAGACAAATTCAGGTCTTATTTATTGGGTACTAAAATTGTTGTGTTTACTGACCATGCAGCGCTGAAATATCTGTGGTCAAATGATGTATCCAAACCTAGGCTAATACGTTGGATATTATTGCTTCAACAATTTAATGTTGAAATAAAAGATAAAAAAGGTTCTGACAATAGTGTTGCTGATCATTTGAGCAGGTTAGTTATTGAAGCTGATGAAGGTAAAGTCCCAATCAATGAAGAGTTCCCCGATGAGCAGCTTCATGCCTTGAACTCAAGAACTCTTTGGTATGCTGATTTGGTGAATTTTTTAGTATCAGGGAAGTTTCCAGCCAGCTACACCAAAGCACAGAAGGACCGGATGCGTAGTATAGCAAAATACTACATATGGGATGACCCATACCTCTGGAAATACTGTGCTGATCAACTGATCAGAAGGTGCGTACCTAATTCTGAAATTCTTTCTATACTAACTTTCTGCCATTCTTATGCATGTGGGGGACATTTTGGACCAAAGAGAACCGCACGCAAGGTTTTAGAGAGTGGATTCTATTGGCCATCCATATTTAAAGATGCATAAGAAATCTGTAAGGCATGTGATAGTTGTCAAAGAACAGGTACACTAGGTCCTAGGAATGAAATGCCCCAAACTCCTATCTTAATATGTGAAATCTTCGACGTTTGGGGTATGGATTTCATGGGGCCTTTCCCCTCTTCTTTTGGTTTTCAATATATTTTTCTTGCTGTCGATTATGTCTCGAAATGGGTGGAAGTTATAGCCACCCGTACTGATGATTCTAAATTTGTTGCAGAATTTTTAAAATCAAATATTTTTGCCAGACTCGGATTCCCGAGAGCCATCATCAATGACAAGGGGACACACTTTTGCAATAAGACAATAGGAGCTCTCTTGAAGAAGTATAATGTGTTTCATCGAGTGTCCACTGCATATCACCCACAAACAAATGGACAGGCAGAAGTCTCCAATCGAGAAATCAAGTCCATTCTAGAGAAGACTGTGAATCCAAACAGGAAAGATTGGAGTCTTCGCCTCAACGATGCTCTGTGGGCGTACATAACAACGTATAAAACTCCGATCGGGATGTCTCCTTACAGGCTTGTGTTTGGTAAACCTTGCCATCTGCCGGTAGAATTGGAACACAAAGCCTTTTGGGCCGTGAAACAATGTAATATGGAAATGGATGCAGCGGGTGAGCACAGGAAACTTCAATTGCAAGAACTGGAGGAAATTCGGAATGATGCTTTCGAGAATGTGAGAATGTACAAGGAAAAGACTAAGGCATTCCATGATCAGCGTATCACACGAAAGGCATTTACAGTTGGGCAGAAAGTTCTCCTGTATCATTCTCAACTCAAACTCTTTCCTGGCAAACCCCGTTCTAGATGGGTAGGACCGTTCGTTGTTACCAAGGTATATGACCATGGTGCGGTGGAGATTCGTAGTGAGAACACAGGGAAGGAATTAAAGGTGAACGGTCATCGACTAAAGCCTTATTATGAGGGTTATCAGGTCCAGAACATTGAAGTGATGGAGCTAGAAGCTCCAAATTATGAAGACTAGTATGCTGGAAAGGCGTCGAGCTAACGTCGATAAATAAAGCACTCTTGGGAGGCAGCCCAAATCTAGGATTATAATTCGATTATTTTTTTTTCATTTTTTTTATTTTCATCATTTTATTTTAACTATTATGCAAAAAAAAAAAAAAAAAAAAAAAAAAAAAAAAAAAAAAAAAAAAAAAAAACTATGAGAGAGAGAGAGCTTCCAGATTTCTTATATGCTTATTTTCAAATATTTCATAGTCCTCTGGGAACAGACACATTTAATTTGCTTGGTTAAATCTGGTATTGTTTGTTACAGGACATGCTTCATAGCACACAAGCATTTGCCGGCTGATTCAAAGCCGACATCGATGTGGATATGTTGCAGCAACCTGGGAACATGCAACAAGAATATTGAGGCTGGAATTGGGGATGGAATTCAAAAGCTTTGCTTTTAATTTCTGGTCCGGAAAAGCTGCAGCATCGAAACAGTAATGAGGCAGCAGATCTGCAGTCAAGTAGTGGAGGCAACGCTTTAAGCTTGGGGGAAGAGTGGCGAACCAGATAACTACCAGCATGTTCCACTTTTTCCGGTGAGCTCGTTTCCTTATTTGTTTCTATTTTAATCCCCTTATTTTTTATTTATTTTTTTTACAGTCACACATTGAGGGCAATGTGTGGATTAAGCTTGGGGGGAATGCGTTATGTTCGGTCTCTTGCGGTCTCTTGGTATGTCTCTGGTGTGGTATGATATTATATTGAGTCTAATAATGAAATTTGGACAGTGCATTCGGTCTCTACAATGCTTAACTATACAATACATTCACTCTACAATGCTTACCTTTGGCTAATAGACTTGTATATATGCAGAAAAAAAAATAAAAAAAAAAATTTGAAAAATTAATTCTGTAAACAATAGTTAGCCTGGTGGAAGTCAGCTTGTGGTGGAGTAAAAAGAAAGAAATGAGTTAGGCATCAAAGTTTTACACCACATAAGCCAAAAAGCTTACCCATGACATGATTGATTATTAAACCCAATTTGAGCTTTATAAACCTACTTTTCTTGCGGAATGTCTGAAACATGAAATACTTGCCTATAAGATTAGTAGAGCATATCGATGGGTAAATTGGATTATCGTTGTGGTAATGATGTAAATTGGTGGTGAAGTATGGGTTAAAAAAAAAGTTTCATGTTAAAGGCTCTACGTACCAATGTATGGGTTAAAAAAAAAAAAAAAAAAAAAAAAAAAAAAAAACATATAAGTACGTGTGATGTTTTATGTATCGTGATTGAGTAACTCGAGTTAGTAAATCCGTAGGGGTATCTTAAAACCTAGTGCCTTGGGCCAATTGGACCAGGAGTCACTGGTTGAAAGCTCGCTACATGGGTTACTTGACAGATACTTGACATTAAGAGTCATGAAACACAATTAAAAAAAAAAAAAAAAAAAAAAAAAAAAAGTAAATAAATAAATAAATTCATGAAGTTGGAAAGGCCTGTGATATGAGTTTTTATGTTGTGGTTGTGGTTTTGCATATTTTGCTCTGCTAATCTGAATCCTTCTTACCACATTCCGAAATGTTCTCTAGAACCTCACTTTACCTTGGCCCTGTTTTATCCTTGATTCAAGTCCTAAGGATCTTGATTTACTCCACTACATTGTTGGTGGAAGGTAGGCTGTAATTGTTTTAAGAGTTGGTAATTGATTTTGTAATCATAAAAATGATTTTCCCCTTGCATATATACTTGACTTGACGCTGGTATTGAGCAAAGTAGAGTGATTATTACAGAATGCTTAGCTGGTTTGATGTGTCAATATATTTGGGTTGAAATTGTAATTGAGCAAGAGTGGAGTAATTGTAACATGTCAGGTTGCATACTATTATATCAAGAGTCTAACTTCTCTGTAATTTCATGCCTTTGCTTGAGGACAAGCAAAATATTAAGCTTGGGGGAGTTTGATAGGGTCGTAAAATATAATTTTTATATATATTAAACTCTTGATTTTATATTGACATATGATAATTTAAGAGTATTATAAGTAATTTTCTTTCGTAGACTTGAGTTACTACTATTTTATTTATTTGGCTGTAGGAAGGAAGATTACGGCACTAAATTACATTTTTACCAACGCTCGGATTAACCAAGACCACATGACCAGATTAAGTCACATTTGTCTCAAGCCCAATAAGATATTATTGTGAATGGGCATACTAGAGATAAGAGAGCTACAAACCTACAATACTCATCAGAATCTTTTTCTCTTTATTTCGATGAGCAGTGAGGTAAATTTCTTGAGCGATTTTTGTGGGTACCAAACAGTCAAGCTAGAAAAGATAGAGATGAAATCTGATAAGGATGAGAGCGTTCGGGATCAAAGATTCCGGGTGATAAGATTGGGATGCCGAATGGGAAGAAAGGGAGTTGTTTTTGAGATTGGAAGGGGGGAAATTTTTTTGGACTGTTTTTGGAGTAAAGCCGAATTGCATGCGAGAGGAGGCGATCTTCTGGGCAGCGAATTGAGGAAAAAATCAGAAAACGAACTCAGAGCAGTGTAGTAGCGGTGAAGAGAAACAGCATCAGTCGAGAGGACTTAGCTGTGTTCTGGAATTTGTCATTTGCTACGGGATTTTTCTGGGCTAGGTTTCAGGAATAAAAATTAAAGAAATTCCTTGGAGCACTGCAACTCGTGTCATAGTCTTCGGTAATCATCAAATTGGTTTTGATACTACATTAGTTTAATATCTCCTTTTACTCTTTGTATTGGATTTCATTTTGGTAATAATAGTCAGAGTTTGATTTCTTATTAAGATATAGGATTGAATTTTATTATTAAGCTAATCATTGGTAGTTTATGGCATTTGTTAAATGTTGGTACTTTGTGCTTCGTTTAGCTACTGCTAGCATTATCAATTTCGATGTTTAATTATTTATATCATATTATGAAGTTTCTTTTTGTACTTGTTATTGTAATTTCAACTCTTAATATGTTAGGCTAATTCTTCTTAGGGTAGGGATATATATTATGCATTGGATTATTTTGTTGAGAGAATAGAGATGTTATAATTCTTGGGTATTATGTTTATTTCTTGATTGGGTTGATAATCTGTTTTATTAGTATGAATTACCAGATTATATTTTAGACCGGCCATCTTTAGTATAATTTGCTAGTTTAAATGCTAGAATATTAATCTATGATACGTAATTGTCCGGTTAGTACTCCTTAGTAGCACTTAGGTGTTTAATAGGTGACTGAAACTTGTCTGATGCCTATGATTATCAGCTCTTTAAGTTGCACGAATCCGAGCTTGTGAGATTTGTGGCTTAAGTTAGCTACTTCCTAGTTATTAATGCTGCTAATTAATCAAGTCTAGAGAGCTTGTTCTAGATTGTTAGTTAGTTAGACAATACTCCAAGAGCATGTTTGGTTTATTTGCAATTAAGGGAAGTGTTGAATGTTTGTTTGTGTTCATCGGCTAACATTGAGATAAGAACATAATTTTTATAATTCGATGATCAACAAATACTCCAATGCTATAATATGTCTCCCGATCCCTGTTTTATTATTATTTATTTTTATCATATTTCAATTTTAGTAGTCTTTCTTTCGTACTTTATTTGTCCCATAGTTCATAGTAGTTTATTTATTAGATCATAGTACTATTTCTTCAGAACAGAGGTTTCTAACTTACACAAGTTATAATTTAATAAACCAATTCTCTGTGGGATCGACCCTAGCTTACCCTACTACATTTTAGGAGGTTGGAGTTAGGTTTATTTTGGTAGACAGTCGTATCAACAACCTTGTTGAATAATACCTAACTAAACCCAAAATAAGTGATTTTTCTCAAAAATCTAAACAATCAAATAAATAGAAGATTCTTAGGCTAAATTTACAGCACTTTGTATAATCAATACTATTCAATTTATTCCTAGCCGAAATTTCAAACAAACAATTTATTGCTTGAAAGCAGCAAAATTAGAAAGTGGATGAAGACTGATGATTTTACCTCACTCTCCCAAGTT